AGTCAGTGGGAAGCTATGCAGCCAATCTACCCCCCTAAAGAAGAGGATTATTGATCACAGAAGGGGTGGGAACTAGCTTATCCCTCTTACCAGGAGATATGCCTCTAGACAGAGGAAAGGTCCCTGGGTTTTTATTTCTTTTTTTCCTGTGTCTTTTTTTTTCAAATGACTGCATGTGATTATAAGCAAGCCCAATGAAGTGGCTGCTAAAAAAACTTAAGGCATTAGAGAAAGCTTAGCAGCCCAGTCACTGCTTCAGATAAGCTTGTCTCTTTCACAATTTCCTCATTTTTGCCAATTTATTGTTTTTGTTTTGTTTTGAGACAGAGTCTCATTCTGTTGCCCAGGTTAGAGTGCCATGGCCTCATCATAGCTCACAGCGACCTCAAGCTCCTGGGCTCAAGCGATCTTCCAGTCTCAGCCTCCTGAGTGAGTAACTGGGACTATACGTGCGTGCCACCACACCCAGCTAACTTCCTTTTAGTAGAGACTGGGCCTTGCTCTTGCTAAGGCTGGTCTTGAACTCCTGACCGCAAATGATCTCTTATCTCAGCCTCCCAGAGTGATAGGATTACAGGCGTGCTATTTTTATTTATTATTATTATTATTTTAATGAATCTTGCAAGAGTAATCTCATTTGTGGCACATGTCTACTCCTAACTGATGAGATTTGGTTCTTATCATTTAAGAAGTTAAATAATAATGGAAACTCTACAGGGTACTGGCCAGGGTTAGAGGAATAAAATCAGGAAATAGTAATAGTGTTTATTCTTTAGGAAGGCAAGGAAAGATTTCAAAAAGGAGCTTAAATTCTTCAATGTTATCAAGTGCCATATGGGTACAGAATAAGACAGGACTGAAAAGAGTCCACTTGATTTTGTATTGATGCTAATATATTCAACAAGTATTTGTTAAGTACATATCATGTGAATAAAATCAACATGATTCATCCGCTTGTAGAACTTGGAATCTAGTTGGGTTATAGACAGTCAATAGATAACCTCACAAACATTTCATTCAAAACCATGATAATTTCTAGAAAGGAAAAGAGAAAGGAAAACAAGAAAAGGAAAACAAGTACCCTGAGAGAGTTTAATAGGAAGACTTATTTTTAATGAATAGGTAAGTAAAGGCATCACTGGGAAAGCATAATTTACCCTAATACTTGAAGAATAAGCAGGAGAGAGAGGTGGGCAGTGAGTGTGAGTAAAGCAGCAGTATGTGCAATGGTTCCTGGAAAGTAACATTTGATATGGTGAGGCAGAATGAGAAAGAGGCCAAGCAGCAGCAGATAAAGTAGAAGAGGTGAGCAGGTGCCAGACCAGACAATGCCCTGTAGGTCATAGCAAGGAGTTGATAGAACACCACTGATATTTGAAGCAGAAAAATAATATGATGCAATACAAATACACTCCAGAAATGTGACTCTGAGGGCTGTGCCAAGACTGATTTGGAAAAGGGTAAAAGTATACGTGGGGAAAACAAGCTAAACATATATTGTAATGAATGGTTAAAGAGAATGACAATTTTGGCTTGGACTAAGGTGGTTAGTGGTGTACAGATAAACAGGAATAGATGTGATGTATATTTTAGATGTGATTAGGAGGTAATTAATGATCTTTCGTAAATCAATTTCGATGCATTATTTAAGGCAGAATCCTGACTGTTGGTTGAACAACGAATGAGAAGCAAGGAAGTAGAGAGCAAAAGGAGACTAGTCCTTGAGAAAGCTGATGCTAGGAAATGGAGAGAGGGCAATAGCTAACAGAAACCTCAGGGTCAACGAAGGATTTTTATTCTTCCATCCATCTATCCATTCTAGGCAGTAAGTGACTTAAAATTTTCTTTCTTTCTTTTTAGAAGTACAGGGTAGAACAGAAATTGACAAATTGAGAAAGCAATAGAATAACCAACAGAAGTAAAGCAGGCAAGAGATAACTATTATCCTAAAGTAGGCAGGGGATGATGATGCCCAAAACTGAGACAGGAAAATTAGCATGTAGTAAAGCATCACACTCCCCGCCCAGTAGAGCACACTGGTTGAAAGCACTGGCTTGGAATTGAGGCTGCCTGGGTTTGAATTCTGTATCTACTAGTTACTATGTAACCTTGGACAAGTTATCTAGCATTTCTTGGCCTGAATTTCCTCATCTGTAATATGGAGCCAATCACAGTGCCAATGTCATATGGGTTATTGTGAGGAACACATAAGATGGTACGAGTAAAATACTTCACATGGAATCTGACATAGTAAGCCCTCAATTTATTTTTGTTTCTATTGATAATAATAGCAACAACAATAACATTAGTAATAATAATTGGGCATCAATCTTTCTGAGGTTCGATTTGACAGAGAATGGGTTAATAAAAGATATGGCTAGAGATAACATTGTGGGTAGAAGAGACACTGGAGGTTCTAAAGTGCTTTCCTTTTTCTCTGGCAAATTAGAGGTTTGGTTGTTTGTGATAAGTGAAAAGAATGGGGAGGAGACAGATAGAAGACTTGAGTAGAGTGGGTGAGATATGGCATAGCCACTATGGAAAAATGAAAGGCCCCTGAATGGGAACAGGTGAAATAACTGCTGAAACAGCATTGAGAGTCCCATGGAGGTAAAAGATAAAATGTCATAAAGATACCAATTCACTCAGTTCACCAAAGGGAACAGGAAGAAAGAAAGCCAGAGAGTTAGAGGCACAATGTGAATGCTAAGAAGTTTGGGTTTTATTCTGTAAATTCAGGGACATATCGGAGGTTTTTGATATAGAAATCATAGGAAAATACAGACTTTTAAGAAGAATACATTAGTAGTGCCAATGGGAAAAGATAGCAGAGCCAAGGATTCTCTCTAGTTTGGGGCCTCTCTCATTAGTGCAGATGATTTTATATATTTCCAAAGTTGCCCTCACTGTAGGCTATTGACATATGTTTAAGGGTTAAAAAGTATTTGGGTATATTCACACAGAAGTGAATTTAATTTCAGCATACACCTAGAGAAATACATTTTAGCCAAATTTTTACAGACCTAAAATATACTATTTTTTAATCTCAAGCCCATACTTTGCTTTAATAATTGTCCTGTAATTAAATTCAATCCACATTTCTTTACTGTGCATTTTATATAAGATATTGTTCTAAGCAGTGCAAAGGACGCATGTTTAAAAGACTAAGGTATACCATTATTCCAAAAATATTTCTGTGATAGGAGTTTGGATAATCTTTATTTGGCAAATCCCGACTGATGCTGTCTTAGGTAATTTACATGGTGTAAACTACTTTCTAATGTCCTTGACATTTTCCCCCTACAGACGTGTAGCTAAGGATGGTGAGAGTAAATAAGAGGACCAGGTTACTTCATGTACATACAGTCCCAGAATTATTTATGGTTATGTGCATAAACAAGAAATCTCTTCCATTTTCTATTTTCCTTTTAGTTCAGAAGGTATATTGCTTTTTATGTCCCCAAACTTCATTTCCTCAGTGTGGTACCAAGGATATTCCTCATGCAGGACTTGCTTGGCAAACTAATACATCTTCCAAGATAAACTGCATTCAGAAAAAGAAATGGCTTCAGAGAAATTGTGTGGTGTACCTACTGTAAAACTCATAACCATCATGACACAGCTGAATTCTCAGAGGGTATATAGCCTTGCTTCGATTATAATATGAATCTAAACAGCTTAGGTTTCACACATGGACTTTAGTCTAGAAAATGTTATCATTTAATATTATACTAAATTGCTGCTAGTTAATATATAACATCTAACCAATTAAGCTGACTGATTTTCCTTGTCCAAAATCAAGAGAAATACCTTCTGCAATGCCTTTATATGTTCTATCTGATCCCAAATATACATTTCTGATTTTCTTTGCAAGGATTTGACAGAATCCTTCTACATCAGTATAGGCAATGAGATATCTTAAAATCAACAAACTCTAAACATGGGCAAGCAGTTCAAAAGAAACATACCTACTCCCATATATCACAGTTTGACATTAAATAGGTTTTTTAAATTGCAAAGTACCAAATTAGATCAATTCTAATATAATATATTTAAAAAGCTATAAAATATTTTGGATGAAGCAGACAGTGTTTGACTATTAGGGCAAATGGTAATTAAAAAATTCTTAGTATCCAAATGGAAAATGTTCAGGGAGCCAGGATAAAGCTGGCAACCATAATGGAACTATTTATTCACACAGCAAGCAAACCTGCATTAAATACCTAAGTAAAAAACAGATTTTTCTCCAAGAAATTAAATAAATCATGATGTCCTCTTTCCTATTAATTTTTTTCCAACTATTTGAATAGCAGGTTTGGGGAATACTTTAAATATGTAACTATATTTTTAATACATAATTTATACCTGGTCATCCCTGTACCCCTTAAAATTATGGGAGTAAGAAAAAATTATTCATTGCAATAATAATTTAACTACACAATGATTTACCACATGATATACATTTATATGATTTCCTCCCCAGCTAAAACGGCACATGTCAAGCTTTCAATCAGTTCATGACAGTCTACAGGAAATCTGAAAATCCTTGTGCTTTTTCTGACACAATATATGCCACAGAAAAGAATCTCTAGTATTTTGCTATGTATCTAGTTACTACTCTTTTATTTCAGCCCAATTTGGGGTGCTAAATTCTAACACCAATATCTAAAAGAAAAAAAAAACATAGCCAATACAATACTGTATACAATTTTGCATATACCAGTACGGTAAAAATATGAGCACTGTTATAGAGATGATTCCATGAGATAGATTCAGGTATTTTGTGAATGTAAAAATTAATTTCATTTTTTTAATACCATGACAAATAATAAGTAAAGAAGTATTTTTTTCTGAGAACCTACATCATATTAAATTATGTGGCTATACAGTAAGAACAACAGCAACAAAATTTCAACAATTGAAATGTCTTTCTTTTTACTGTTTTTGAAAGTATTACTACCTCCCAGCTGAGTTTATGGACCTTTATGCTCAATACATACCACAACTCCAAACTGTTCAGGCTCACAGAGGTCATCATATTCATTTTTAAGCTGTGCTAATTCACTGAGTACCTTCTGCTCAGGAAGATGTTTTATAAGGTTCTAAAAAGAAATAAAAGTATAAAAGTTTAGTGTTTTATTATTAGGATTTTTACACAGACATTAACAATTACAAAAGTGATTAACTATGATAGTACATTGCTGATTGTAGGTCTTTTATAGGGCCAGCGTATCCTCCCTTTCCCTCCAAAAACTGACCTAAAAATGAACTACAATGAAAAGTGAATAAAATGTATATACTTCTTTGGTATCTATGTAATATAGTACATAAATATTGAATAAAAAGATGATATAGGAGTAAACAGCATTCCAAAACTGAGCAAACTTCTGGACCTTAAACACATACCATAATTGTCAAAGTTTATTTCCTGTCACAAAAATTAGTCAAACTGAAAACACAAAAATATTATATAAAATAAACCCATGAACAAAAATATTAGAAAAGAAAATATGAACTCTACTACTTATAACTTTTCAAAACTTGGAACCATCTTCAATCTTATAAACCATACCTGGACTGTACAAAAATCTCTCATTATTTATAATGTCTGTATTTAAGTATACAATGAATTCCTATTTTTAATGTAGAATCAAACGAAAGTAATGAAGTCTGATACATGCTCAAGTTTGATGCATGTTATGAACTGAATGTCTGTGTCCTTCCAAAATTTATATTTTGAAATCCAAACATCAATGTAATGGTCTTTAACAGTCGGGACTTTGGGAGGTAAATAGGTCATGAGGGTGGAGCCCTCCGGAATGGGATTAGTGCCCTCTTAAGAAGAGGCCAGAGAGCTAGCTTTCTCTATTTCCACCATGTGAGTGTATAATGACAAGTCAGCAGTCTACAATCTAAAAGAAGACCCCTACCAGAACCTGACTATGCTGGTATCCCAAATTTGTACTTCCAGTCTCCAAAATAGTGAGGAATACATTTGTTGATTATAAGCTTCCTATGGTCTGGTACCTTGTTACACCAGCCTGAAGTAAGACAAGGCCTAAGAGTATCAAAATTGATGAATTCATCTCAATCTAGTTCATACTGGACTTTAGTACAGTTTTAATTATCATTACATTAGCCTGCAACTAACATTTTGGGAACTCATATGGGATTTCAATAGATATATGAACGTGAAGAAAGCAGAAAACAAAGATTAAAGAAAGTAGGTTGGCACAAAATGGCAGAGAAGGAAGCTCCGTGACTGGTCCCTCTATCAAATCAACGACTGAGCTAGAAAGAGTGATTGGAATAAACTATTTCAGAACTCTGGAACCTGACTGCACAATTACAACAACAAGGGAGTACTTGATAAAGGGAGATACTGCTATTTTCTAGCAAGAGAATAAAGTGCATGAAAGAGTCTTGGGAAGGGCAGGTTGATGTCAGGATATTCAGTGTGGATCTTGTTCTTCAAAAATTTAGGGTTATGTATTTTGGTTGGTTTGGCAGTTCAACAAGTGATTAGTGCATATGTTTGTCTTGGTTTCAAACCTCTTGGATTATAGCAGCTAATGGCATCTAACAGAAGATTCAAACAGACAAAACACTTCCTCACCCACATTTTTGGAGTCCAATACTTAAGAAAATCTGTCAAGTCACTGGCTGACAGCACAGATAACAAAACACAAATTTGAATGACCACATATGACACAAAATACCTTATTTTGCAAAAATTGTTTGGAAAGTCATCAATGGATGGCCACAGCCCACAATAAACAAAAATCAGTGGTCTATGAGGAGTAGCAGAATCAGAGTTATAGAGTTATTACATTATAATACTAAGAATGTCCAGTTCTCAATAACAGATTACAAAGATACAAATAAACAGGAAAACAGGGCTCATGCAAACAAAAAAAAGAAAAAGGAATTTGGAAAACACTCGTCCTGAAGAAGCCCAGACAATCAAAAACATTAAATTAACTGTCTTAAATATGTCCCATAAGTGAACAATGGACAAATAACTAAAGGAAATTAGGAAATCAATGTATGAACAGAATGAGCACATCAATAAAGAAATAGAAATTATAAAAAGGAACAAAACTAAAATTACAGAAATGAAAAGTGTAATAATTGACATGGAAAATTCACTGGAGGGGTTCAACAGCATATTTGAGCAGGTAGAAGAAAAGATCAGTGAACCTGAAGATAAAGAAACTGAAACAATTAAGTCTGAGTTGCAGAAAGAAAAAAGAATGAAGAAAAATGAAATAAGCCTGAGGGACCTCATAAAGCATGACATAATGCTCATTATGGCATTTCCAGAAAAAGAAAAGAGAGAAAAAGGGACAGGAAAACATCTGAAGAAATAATGGGTGAAACTTCCTAAATCTGATTTAAAATATGCACATGCATATCCAAGAAGCTCATCAACTCTGAACAGGACAAACTCAATGGGATCCACTCGGAGACATATTATAATCAAACTGTCAAAACTGCAAAACAAATAGAGAATTTTTAAAGCAGCAAGAGATAAGTCACTTGTCACATACAAGGGATTTTCAATAAGATTAATACCTGACTTCCCAACAGAAATCATGGGTAGTGGTATAGGTAGTTGAATAACATGCATAAAGTCCTGAACAAAAATTGTGAAACAAGAATTTGTATTGAGCAAAGCTATCCTCCTTCAACAACAAAGGAGAAATTAGAACATTTCCAAATTGAAAGCAAAAACACAAAACAAAACCAAGATAATTTATCGCTAGTAAACCTGTCCTGCAAGAAACACTAAAGGAATTCCTATGGGCCAAAATAAAAAGACACTAAACAATAACTCAAAGAAAACATAAGAAATAAGAACAAGTGTAAAGAAGGTCATTAAATACGAAATGTCCAATTTCTAATCAAAAGTTTAGTTTATTGTACCTCAAACAAAAAGCAGTACAATTAATCAAAGTATGTGCCTAAACTATCAACACAGTTTTGCCATCTTAATGGTACCTTATTTATGCCAGCAGCAAAGAAATCTAGAGAGCGAGTGGCGATTAAATTGCCAAAAGCGTTTTCCACAGCTTGTTGAGAACTGAATATTTTTCCTTGCAAGAATTGAGTCATTTCTTTAAATATAAATGGATTAAATACTCCAATAAAAATGGACTTTTTAAATCCACTGGGAAAATGGATTAAAAATGATCTATCTATATGTAGTCTATAAGAGACTCACTTTAGATACAGAGACACAAAGGAGTTGAAAACAAAAGGATGAAAAAGGATATTCCATATAAATAGTAATCAAAAGAGAGCTGGTGTTGCTATGTTTTTGTCATACAGAATAGACTTTAAGTCAAAAAAAGTAACAAGACACAAAGAAGAGGTAACCTTTATATATTGAAAAGAGTTCACCCCATCCAGGAGAATGATGATTATAAACATACCTAAGAACAGAGCACCAAAATTTAAGGAAAAATGGACAAAATTGAAGGTAGAAACATAGAGTTTCACTATAATAAAGAATTTAATACCCTACTATAGATAATAATAGAACTGGAATGAAAATTAATAAATAAAGAGAAATTGAACAATAGTAACTGCCAATGAGACCTAACAGACAAAGTATCCCACTCAACAACGGTAAAATGTATATGCTTCTCCAGTACACACAGAATATTCTCTAGGACAGATAATATATCAGGCCACAAAAAACATCATAATATATTTTAAACAAGTGAAATCATACAAAGTATCTTTTGTGATTGCAATGGAATGAAACTGGAAAGAAGTAACGGAAGAAAAACTGGAAATTCTCAATTATCCAGAAATCAATCAACATACTCTTGAACAACCAATGGATCAAAGAAGGAATCACAAGGGAAATTAGAAAACATCTTGAGATGAATGAAAACAAAAGCACATCAAACTGAAATTTATGGAATACAGTGAAAGCAGTGCTAAAAGGGAAAATGATAGAGTAAATGCCCACATTAAAGAAAAAGAAAGACCTCAAATCAATAACCTAACTGTACATTTTAAAGAATTAGAGAAAGAGGAACAAACTAAACACAAAGCTAATAGTAAGAAGGAAATAATAAAGACTGGATATAAGCAAAACAGAAAATTTAAAACCAACAGAGAAAAATCAACAAAATCACAAGTTGGCTCTTTGAAAAGAAAAAAAAAATTAAAAAGAAAAAAACTTTCAGCTAGACTAACGAAAAAGAGAGAAAACTCTAATAGCTAAAATCAGAAATAAAATAACATTACTATTGATTTTATAGAAATAAAAAAGATTATAAGAGAATACTATGAACAATTATACATTAAAAAATGGACAACTGAGAATAAATGGACTAATTCTTAGAAACACACAAACTACTTAAATGGACTCAAGAAGAAATAAAAAGTCTGAATAGACCTATAACAAGTAGGGAGATTGGATCAGTAATCAAAAACCTCCAAACAAAGAAAAGCCCAGGGCCCAGGGTCGAGTGGCTTCACTAGTGAATTCTACAAAAAAATTAAAGAAGAATTAATACCAATCCTTCTCAACTATTCCAAAAAATAAAGAGGATGGAATGGTTTCTAACTCATTCTATGAAGCCAGCATTACCTTGATAAGGTTGGTCAAAGATACTACAAGAAAAGAAAACTACAGGCCAATATCCCTTATGAACACAGATGTAAAATTTCTCAAAAAGTACTAGCAAACTGAATTCAAGCAGCATAATAAAAGGATTATATACCATAACTAAGTGGGAATTATCCCCAGAATGTAAGTGTGGTTCAATATACAAAACCAATATATAATATATAAAAACAATGTAATATACCATTTTGATAGAATGAAGAATAAAACCACATGATCATTATGATGTTACAAAAGAGCATTTTACACAAATAAAATGAGAAAAACACTCTATAAACTAGGAACAGAAGGAAACTTTGTCAACATGATAAAGGTCATATATGAAAAACCCACAGCTAACATCATACTCAATGGTGAAAGACTGAAAGCTTATCTACTAAGATAAACCAAGATAAGGATGCCTGCTTTCACCACTTATATCCATCATAGTTTGGGAAGGTGTAACATCAGAGAAATTAG